TCCCCCGCATCCCCCCGGGGGGAGGCGTGCGTGTGGGCTGCAGCCCGTCCCCGGGCCCGTCGTCTTCGGGCCTCTGTGGCGAGCAGGGGAGGCCGAGGAAGAAGCCTGCTGAGGAGGTGGAGGGTGACTGGCCTTGTCCGTGTGGCGATGCCCCATCCTCCTCCTGTGCAGGAGTCTCCTGGCCTAGTCTGGGGTCAGTGCGCGTCTCTGGATGCCCCCACGCTCCCCCAGCGGCTGCCAGGTCCTCCTGGGGTGTTGTAGCCCATCATCTGAAACTCGGGCTGGGTGTTTGCTGCAGCGTGCTGTCCTTTGCTTCACAGGTCTAACTTTTGCTTCAGCCCTATGGATTGTGCCTGTTGTGGTGCCGTTATTGTAGCTTCAGTCCTGAGTTAGGCAGGTTGGTGCCTAGCAGTAATGTCTCTTATTAGATGTGTGGAACTGCTGGCGCAGAAGAACAGACAGGCTTGTGGGTTCACAATCTGTTAAATCTAGCTGGCTCTTTTTATCTCCTTTTCAGCTAGTTTTGCCTCTGGAAGGGGACACATTCGTGGTGTATGATGGCTGACTGTATGCGTGAGTTGCTTTTATTTGAATATCAGTTCTACAGGCTAGTCCTAGTGAGCAGGCTCAGTTTGCTGATTTTCAGGCCTTGTCTTCTTTAAGATGAATGTATCATGTGTGTTGAAGATGTTGTGCCACCCCAGTGCTCAGCAGCTCAGTCTACTTGCCGCAGGAGTGGCTATGAAAAGCCTTCATAGTGCAACGTATCTTGCTGTACATGTTGGATTACTATTCCTCCTCTGAACAAATTCCAAAACAGTGGAAGGCTAGTGATGAGAGCAAGCAATGTGTTTTCACAGTGGCTTTTGATTCTGCAAATACTGTGGTGGGAAGAACAGGAGGTTTCTGTTTTGCAGCCTTAAGAAAAAAGGAATTGGCTCACCGTGTCTGACGCACATCTGTGGTCAGCTCCTGAAACGAGCAGCTCGCTAAGTATGGTTGTGAGCCTGTTCACCCCAGTGGGAGAAGTTTGTGGTTTGGGATCTTGTTTCCTGCTGGGGATTGCAGTTGTCTACATGTGACCATGGCTTTTGCTGTGTTCTCAAATAGAAAATAGATGGATAGTTGTGAAATAACATAAGCAGTTAAAAAGTAAGTGTCTTGGGAGGAAAAAAGTTGTATTTTTATATCATTGATTACTTCAGATCAAGCATTCAGTGAGTCTTTGCTTAATTCATCCTCAAATACTTGGAGTACCAGTGTGTCATGTAACTGGGAGAAAAAAGTTGCAGAGTGAGTATAGAGAAAGGGAAGCTAAGTTTAAACATCTTTTATGCTTATTTATAAGAGTCGGCCTTTCAGTTAGGGAGTCAAATCATGTTGTTCTCATATAAAATTTCTGTTGAAACTCAAGTGTAGCATGGGGGTTTGCTTGTAAAAGTGGACAGTGTTTTGAGATGCTTCTTGAGCTCTGAGCTGGCACAGGCAATTCTTTGTCCCCTTTCTGGGTCTTTTGTTGTAGGTGTAGTTAAGTGTAACTCGGTAACAGTAGTTTTAGGTATTTGTTAGAATAATGTTAATGGAACTATTTAAATTTTAATATTAAAAGTTTACTGAGCTGAAGATGCAAAGGTTAGGAAATAGCATTCGGTTCTGAAGATAATCTTTTTCTGTAGAATCTAAGGTAGAGGCTTGGGTGCCCGTGGTGGATTGTGTTCCCTGTTCTCTCTCCTGTTGCGTGAGGTTGGGGAAATGACTCTGCTTCCCTCGGGTCTCGTCTGCCTTGCTTGTAAGCTCCTTAGGGCAGGGGCTCCCTGTGGCTTTTTACCTTGTGTAGTATCAAGTCCATGAAGCATTAATTTTACATGGCTACTAATAATCTCTGTGAATCTCTGCATTTTGCAGCTTGCCATTTTACAGCTTCTTGAAAATATTTTATCAAAACTGTTTTAACAGAAAATTGTATTGGGATGTGAGCCTAATTTTTGGTTTGTTGAAACGGGCATGGACTAAAAATTGAGTTTATATCTCTACATGAGGAGAAAGAGTATCTCATTTTGATGCTATGAATATTATTCTTGTTTCTCTCTTTCATTCTTAATGTGGCTTCCCTACTGCTGTATTAATATAAATTTTGTTCCAGTTGTACACTATTTTTTTTATTTATTTTTCTGAGCAAGCTTTCTAGTGTCCCGTGTATAAAAGGCTGCAAGTCTACTGTGTCTGAGCGTGTACAGAGAAAAGAAACCATAGTTAACTTTTAGGAAGTGGAAAGAAATTCTTCAGCATACGTAGTTGTTTAGAACACAGTAAAACTCAACAGATTGAAGGGGAAATGTTGTTCAGAGTGCCGTCAAAGTTCACAGAAATATTGTTTGTTCTGGGATCAAACTTTAAAAAAAACCCAAACTCAGTTCTTTTGAGAACTTTGGAGCAGCTTAAAACATTGCTGGGAAACACGACATAACCTAAACAGGAGTGGAAATGGTGAAGCCCTTGTAAATCTGCAAATGGGCATTCAAAATGTAGAGGCTGTAACTCTGTTTTGAGTGATGCTTTTTTTGAAAAAGAAAACCCTTTGAGGAAGTTTTATGATTTCTTAGGTTTACAGTTTGAGAATATGTTTATGCAGTCTCTTATACGTTGGTCAATTAAGCGTTTGGAGTTTTATCTGAGTTTTGTTGAAAAGTCTTATCTCAAAAGCTTGTTTAAGGAAGTGTTTATTTAGGATTGCAGTTAACTTTTACTTAATCTTACCTTTCTCGTATTGCCTGGTTAGGAGGAAGAATAATTTCTTAATTCCACATGCGTTAATGAGAACTTTTCCTTTGATGTTCCTCTGTTTGCTTTGCCCCTATTACAGATTCTAATACTCTCTAGTGTTTCAGGTAAGATTAAGGTTGAGACTTAAACTCAAATTAGCTTAAGAGAAATCTCTGTGTATGACTGGCGGCATGGTTTTAGATATGACCGCTTAGGGTGATACTTTTTGAAATCTGCCCTTCTAGCCAGACTTTTCACAATGCTCCTTTGAAAGTCTGGTCACTTAAGCTCAAGCACCTTAATGTTTAAATCTGAAGCGAAGCACTCTTGAAAGTCTGGATGTGACTTTTGGCCGCTGAAATCTTTGAGTTTTGTTAGCTTCCATGCAAATAGTTAACGTGTGATGTTGTTAATAGCTTTTTGCAGAGAGAAGAAAGATGGAAAGTAATGCAGTTTTACTGGAATCCAAGTCCTCTCCTATCAACCTTCTGAATGAAATGCATCAGCTGCGTCTCCTGGGCCACCTCTGCGACGTGACTGTCAGCGTGGAGTATCAAGGTGTCAGGGCAGAGTTTGTTGCTCACAAGGCTGTACTAGCAGCAACAAGCAAATTTTTCAAAGAGGTGTTCCTTAATGAGAAGGGCATGGATGGCCCAAGGACCAATGTGTTCTTGAATGAGGTCCAGGTTGCTGATTTTGCTTCATTTCTTGAGTTTGTCTACACTGCTAAGGTAGAAGTAGAAGAAGACAGAGTGCAGCGCATGCTAGAAATAGCTGAAAAGCTGAAGTGCTTGGACCTCTCGGAAACCTGCTTTCAGTTAAAGAAGCAGATGCTTGAATCGGTGCTTTTGGAGTTGCAAAATTTCTCTGAATCACAGAACTCTGAGGAAGAGAGCAATACACAGCCAAGCATTTTGCTTGAGTCCAAAACAGCTACTGTGGCGGAAACTGACCAGGCAGACTGTCCTGTGGATCCTTCAGATTCCCCAGCAGACAGGCCCAGCAATGGAGTGTCTCCTGAGATGCCAGCTACCAAACCAAAAGAGAAAATGGACAAAAAGAAGGAAATGATGAAGCCTCCTTATGCTAAAATCAGAAGGGCAAGTGGGAGACTGGCTGGGAGGAAAGTATTTGTGGAAATCCCGAAGAAGAAATATACGAGGCGGCTGAGAGAGCAGCAGAAGAATGCAGAGGTTGCTGTTGAAGAGAACAAATATCCTCAAGACCAGGATATGTGTGATATGGAGAGGGAGGAGGAGCAAGTGGAGAACGACATTAAACCTGAAAGTGAAGAGTGTGATGGCAACTTCGAATCAGAAGAAAACCTGAAAAAATCTGAAGAAGATAAAAAGAAACGAGGCAGTAACTTCAAGTGCAGCACATGTGAAAAAGAGTTCCTGTATGAGAAAAGTTTTCTCAAGCACATAAAGCACAGCCACGGCATTGCAGCCGAAATCATTTATAGGTGTGAAACCTGCAGTCAGACCTTTGCCAACCGGTGCAACCTAAAAAGCCATCAGCGCCATGTCCACAGCAGCGAGCGCCACTTCCCTTGTGAGCTCTGCGGTAAGAAGTTCAAGAGGAAGAAGGACGTCAAGAGGCACATTCTTCAGGTTCATGAGGGTGGTGGGGAGCGTCATCAGTGCCAACAGTGTGGAAAGGGGTTGAGCTCCAAAACTGCCTTGAGGCTCCATGAAAGGACGCATACAGGCGACAAGCCTTATGGGTGCACAGAGTGTGAGGCTAAATTTTCTCAGCCTTCTGCACTTAAAACACACATGAGGTATGAACAGACTTAAGTGGCCTTGTTAGATTCTGGGGGGAGAAGCAGAATCCCCTGGAACACACTTTGAGCCTTCAAGTGAAGTGGGGATGTAAAACATGACTGACTGGAAAGTGCCCGTATTTCCTTTTTGCATAGCTTTTTGGGTTTTTTCCTGCATGTAGGTTAAGGGAGTTGCTGTAATTTTCTGTAAGCCAAAGTAGAGGTACATGGGCCGAGGCCTGCTGCTGCTTTTCTTGTGGGAGCAGACCTATTAAGAGTCAATGGGACATTTCACATGAGAAAAGCAACACCCATGCTGAATTATTTGTAGGACTAGGGCTAATTTGACACCTCTTTTTAGTCAATTGAATGATGTTATGCAATAAGTATGAAAATGTTCTAAAAGGATTAGAGTAATTATTAGAATAATTTGAATTTAATACATTGGCCATGTATTAAATTGAAGAACACCACGTTTGGGTGCTAAGCGTAGAAAACAACTGATACGTGACTAGAAACAGGCTGATGCATCACCATCTGGAGGTGAGTGAAGCACCAAAGGGCACCCACTCAGAGCTGATGAAATCAGTTGTAGCACTTATATTGCAGTGAGACTCAAAGGTGGAGGTGCAAATGCGTGGTCTTGAAAGCTCATGTGAGAGATGTTTTTATCAAGGCAAAAGTTCTAGCTAGTAAGGGCTTTTGCCTGCTTTTATCAGTCTACCAAAGTGGTCATCTGCAACCAAAGTTCAGATTATAGCCAGGGAGTAAGAGTGGAGAGCGGGGTATAAAAGAAATATCCTGAAGTACTACTACTCAGATCGAAAAAGAGAATGCAGTAGTGTCAGTGTATTCCTAGGTGGCATTTCCTGTGAGGTAGAAGGGTTCATTAAGCACTGCTTGCTTTCACTGCCCCTTTTGAAGTCAGTGGGTTTACTCCCAGTGGTAAAAAGCACATCCGGAAGCAAACTTCTGCTGGAGTGCTGCTATGATGTTACTGCTGATGCAGCTGTATGGCATCTCTCTTTCATCATGTGTCCTTTCCTAACCACAAGTAATTGCTTTGTGCTGCTTAAAAATTGTCTTTTGGCATAAGTGGAGTTTCTCCTCCGTTGTGTATTGATATGACTATTCAGTGAGCTTGCTGAATGCGGAAACAATGCTATCCTAACCTGTGTATCGTGACAGCCTGTGGTGAGAATTTCTCATCTTTTTTTGTGTATGTTTTTACAGCTGTGCTTCTCCTGTTGATGTATTGCCATGAAAACTGGCATGTGTTGACTGTGTTCCTGTAGCACTATTCAAAAGAGCCTTGATGTGTGCATGGGCTGAAAATTTAAGCTAGAGGAAACTGGAATACTGGTACAGGCAACAATTTTGTACACTGCCCTTCGTGTACACACAGCCTTTCCCAGGAGATCACAGTGCAGGCTTGGGGTGACAGCAAGAAAACTGACTGTATAAAAGTGGCATCTACTTACTCTGTTCTTTGGGTGCATCTCATTCCAGAGTAGCCAGTGACTCTACTTGATGGCCCTGCAAGAGCAGTTCCCCTTCCAGGGAACACATCGCTCGTGGTCTGTGTGGAATGTTTTACTGATAGTGTCAGCAATATAAAGATACCTGCTTTATTTCAGATCCTAAGGTGGTTACATTTTTCTTTCAGTCTGTCTAGCTGGATACAAGTTTTCTAAACTTTACTCATTTTTTTTACCTTTTAAAATTTTAGTTTTACCCTAGAGAAGTTTCTGGACCTGGGCCTTTATCATGCAGCACATGCATGATTGAGCAGTAAAAGTGGCACTGCAGAAACCACAATGCAGAATTTGGCCCAGCTGAAGGTGTTTTTACAAGACACTAAAATCTTGTGCAGGCATACAGTCAGAGCAGCCACAAAGTGAAGACTACTTGCGTTGTGCTGCAAAGGAAAGAGATATACCTCGGTGCTTTAATGTTGCTTTCTCATTTCAGAATCCATACTGGTGAAAAACCTTTTGTCTGTGATGAATGTGGTGCCAGGTTCACTCAGAATCACATGCTTATCTATCACAAACGATGTCACACAGGTAAGGCTTTCTTTTGCAATGTACTACTTATAGGAGGAGACCTACTGTGAAACTAGGAGATCTTCCTTTCATTCAGAAAATGCTTTGTTGTTGTTTTTTATATAAAATCAGATATTCTCATCCCTAGGCACGATTTTACTGAGAAAGGTTCCCATAGGTAGACAGTGGATAGAGTAAAAGGAGCTGATGCAAGAGAAAATGAGTTCCTGTCTGGCTGGGATCCAACATCTGAAGCGTGGACTGAGGCTGCTTTGGATACGCTTTAACATCCTAAGATGTGTCATCAATAAAAAGTCTAGTTGAATTCTTAAGAGAAGCATGATTTCTCTGTAAGTCTGGAACAGTTAGCCCAAGGAATATAAAACAGCTGTCTTGCCTTATTCTGATCTGCAAAGAAATCTTTTTAAAAACACATGTCGTTCTCCCAGGTATCCTTCATAGTATAAACTGGTGTTTGGAATTGACCCTTTGTACCACCCATGAGTTGTGTGTGGTACTTTTGCATCTCTTAATTGACCTGTATTAAAACGGTCTGCCTTCTGCCAGTAACCTGTAACTAAATGTGGATAGCAGAAAACATTAAATTGCAATGAAATACAATTCCAAGAACATTTTTTCAAGATGCATATAACTAAAATTGGCTGCTTAAAGGTGGAGGCCTTTCATCAGAGGCATGCAGTGTTGTGCTTATGATGAGAGTAGGCCAGAATACTCCCAAGGTGCCTAGAAGACTGCTAGCTGCAGATCTCCTTGGGGTTTGCATCCACTATGCAGAGCTGTTAGTCTACTCTTGGACAGGTGTGGTTGCTCTTCCACTTGGAGGGTTTTGTGCAGATTTCTCGCAGGAAAGCTCTGTGCCTTATGGAGAGATCACTGCTGTCACTGCGGCCTGTTCAGATCCTTTTGCGAGGCTGACGTGTGCTTCATTGGTATCTAATAGCATTCAGTTTTTGCATGTGATATTTAGTAGCATTCTCAAACGCTATGTTGGTTTAATTCTCCTTTTCACCCTTGCTGTAGGGGAAAGGCCTTTTATGTGTGAAACCTGTGGGAAGAGCTTTGCCTCTAAGGAATACTTGAAACACCATAACAGAATCCATACTGGATCCAAACCATTCAAATGTGAAGTTTGCTTCAGAACGTTTGCACAGAGGAACTCTCTGTACCAGCATATAAAAGTTCACACAGGTAGGAGGTGCTCTATTTGTTTGAAAGAAACCGCCACGATTTAAAGATGTAGACCTCATAGTTGCATGATTCAGACAAGGAATTTCTCAATTAGGATTTCCCATTACTGTAATTCCTACCCTGCAAGCACATTTTATGTTCTTGATGTGGTGTGTTCTTTCGTCTACTTCCCTTCTCCTAGTACTCCCTGTGCTTCTTACTGAGTTACAGCAATTCTCTGAAACATTTCTAAGGGCTGTGCAGTATTGTTAATAATGCTGATGCGTTATTAGCAAGAAGATGATTAGTGACCAAAGAACCACTAAGTCCATTTTGCAAAGCACTGCAGAGAGCTGATCTCATTCTTGTCCCGTTGCCCACCTTTCACATTTGTGATCTCTCCTGCTCAAACTTTCTCTTCAGTGTCTCTTTTTAAGTTTTCTTGTCTGCTCTCTCAAAGTCCACATTATTCAGCAACACAGTAGGTTGCAAATACTCAAGTTACTTTCATCATGTAATAAATACCGTGCTTGCTTATCCAGTGCCACCCTGTATGAATTCTCCTTGCCAATGTTCCCTGTGTTAATGAAATTTTTGTTTTGTTGCCATGCCTTGCCCTTTCTTTACTTCCTACATCCGTGTGTCCGGTGTGGTGTTACTGTAGGTGGAGCAGGGGACATCAGCGTGGCAGGGCTGATGTTAACATTTTTTTTTCCTGTTGTAGAATATAATCTCTTTTTTCTGTGACGCCCCTTGCATCTGTTATAACATTATTTTGGTATCCCCTTCGTCTACCTTAGCCAAGGAAGGAGTAAACATGGTTGTTTCAAAAAGTGCTTAATACAGTGACAGTAGCAAGACAGTTTGTGATGTATTTGGAGGTAATCTAGTGGTTATGAGCAGCTGTATTCATGCTTACATAATGTACCTTATAAATAGGAGAGTTTGTATTCTGGGACAGGACTTTAGTTGCTAATGGAAAATACATGTAAAAAATGTGGAGGCTTCAGTGGTTGCACAATTTATGCAGGCTATGGGTCTAGCCCTTACTCTCTAAGTATCTGCTTGCTTCAGGTGTGTCAAACTTTACCAAACTCTGAGAATTCTGAAAACATCTTGGCCTTTTTTTTTTTTTTCTGAAGATGCTTGTGCATGCCTTATCGTTCCATGACATACAGGGTTTACTTGAGGTTCCCCAGTGAGTAGCACTCGTAATACAGCTACATCACGCCTTTAACGCTGTGCTCTGCCTTCAGGTGAACGACCCTATTGCTGTGACCAGTGTGGTAAGCAGTTCACACAGCTGAATGCGCTGCAGCGTCACCATCGAATACACACCGGGGAGAAGCCGTTCATGTGCAATGCCTGTGGGCGAACTTTCACTGACAAGTCCACCCTCCGACGACACACTTCGGTAAGAACCTGTCATCTTGTTACCTTCTAGCCCTAGAGCCTTCCTCCGTGGCCACGTACTGACCTGTCAACTTTTTCAGGCCTAGAGGGGACTTCTCTCCATTTTTTGTTGGGTTTAGCACATCGTCTTTTCTCTGATGTGGCATTACAATACTCACATGGTTTGCATTCAGTCCTGAGTCTGCAGTGAAGCCATTCTTAATCCATTGTGGCATAACCCATATAGCTTACACCTGAGGACTGTTCAGTCACAGGTTTGTTCTGTGACCTCTGAGCGTGTTGTCCGTGCAAGTGGCAAGTGACAGGAGAATTCACTTTCTAGGCCAGGCTCTCTGCTGGACCAGTTAGATGCTTTATGGAAAACAGGGAGCTCACCAGGGACACAAATGAGTGCATGGACATATACTGACCTAGTTTTGGGATAGTTGTGTGCGATGAAACGAGAGACCTTTTCTACCAGCATCAGGTATGAGCTGGATCCAAGCTTTTGCCTCCCGGACAGTCATCGTGTGTTCAACCTTCTGGTTTGGGGTTATTTTTTTTTTTCAGATACATGATAAAAACACACCCTGGAAGTCCTTCCTTGTCATTGTCGAAGGAGCATCTAAGAATGACGAAGGTCACAAAACAGAACTCCCTGATGAAGAATATGATGTGTCACCTAAAATACCAGAGAAGCTGCTGTCTTTCTCTGAAAACAGCCACTATCAAAACTTGACTGCTGTCCCGGGGAGCGTGACTGCACTGCATGACAATGGTTCTGCCACGGGAACAGACTGTAAGTCAGATGGGACTCCGGGACCCCAGGAAGCCCTTATAGCTACCACTTTAAGTGAGCTGACAGTGCTGCATACACAGACAGACTCTATTCAGCCACAGCTTCATGCTCTGGTGAATATGGAATAATTGGGTATTTACAAATCCAGTTTAAGCTGCATCCTTTGTATAGCTATTTGACTTTGCCAATAACCTGCTGAGGGAACTAGGAGAAGCTAAACAAGGAAGCAGGGCTAGACATTGAAGACACGCACTGGATTTCCAGAATTTCCTCAAAAAATTCATTATCCACCTCCAGTGTGTAGAGTTCCATCTCCTGAAGGTAGGGCAGAGTAACACCACAACAGGCGGGTGGTAGAGGAGGCAGAAGTCCTAGTAAGTTTATTCCTGATGAGTAAGAGGGTGTAGTTGAGCTTGTTCGCTCTAGCTGGCCTGCAGTAAAAGTACCTACATTCAGATAGGTGGTTATAAAGAAGGTGCGAGTTTGATTTGCAGTTGACTTGATGACACACGTACAATCAAGAGAAACGATGTTGAGTTTCTCAGCCTAGTAGCTTAGTGAAAATAATTGCATTTTCCCTAGTGGAAATCCATACATTTAAAAAATGTTACTAAACTGCTTTTCAGGAAATGTTGGTTTATCTCTGCTTTTGCCAAAGATCCAAGCAGTGAGCCAGCTCACTCCTTGGCAATATGAGCGGAAGCAAGCTTCGGAGAGAGCAGGAGTTTCATTCCAGGAGTTTTGACTCTCTAGTTGCAAAATGGGCAAGGGGAAGCCAAGTGCTCTCTCTGTACAGGTGGTGGTATTATTTTTACATTTCAGTGAAACCTGGTGCAGTTTGACACTTGTATTCAGTCTTCATCATCTAGCTGCTCCAGCTTACCTGTAACTTGGCAATTAAGAGACCAAAACCTCTCGTACAAATGTCTATGAAAAGTAGTACTTCAGCTATGCTGGAAAAGCTAGCGTAGAAAGGCAGCTTATTCCCATTTCCCTGTTAACTTTTATCTCAGCTGTTTTCTGCTGATCCAGATAGGTCAGCGATGCTTTTTTCTCCACTGTAACTCTAACATCACTGTTGCTCTGAACTGGAGACCTACTTTTAAATTAAATAATACTCTGGTGGGAAAAGTTAATTACTGTTTTGCTGTCGAGTTGCTACAGCTAATTCCACCAGTAGTGCAAGAGTCTCCAGAGGTTCATTCAGTTACAAATGGGAGGCAGACAGGGTTCGTATGACTAATACCATAAAAAGATGCAAATAAGTGAAAAATGTAGTGGACTATTCAAGGGGTTTAGGCTTTTATTTCCCAGATTGTGAATATTTTGCAAGACTACTATTTTGGAATCTGAACAGCAGTTTTAGGCTGATGTCTGTTTAACTGTCCTCAGTGAGGTGTTAAGAGGCAGGCTTTAAGAACATAAGTAAGTGATGAATAAACTTACAGTTCAAAGGTTTTTCCTGATTAGCATCTGCTGCTAAATTTTAGTAGAATAACCCTGGCAATGCGCTTTTTTTGGTTTGTTTTAAATAAGGAAATGTGACAAAGTGAGCAGAGGGACTAAGGGTCCCAAGTATGACTTCTGTTCAGCCCACGCTCCAAAACCGCAGCTTCACACAGCCTGCTGAAACACCCACTGGGTTTGGATCCCAGTGCCACCAGTCGCTAGGAGAATCACGCTTCTAGTTGGCCTTTTCTTACCAAGACAGACAGAGCTTTCCTTAGTATCCCCTCCCCTTCCCCAGGGGGCATGTGGCCTCATTCTCCCCAGTCACATCCAGTAGCTGGGAAAGCTGTTGCCCAGGGAAACCTGAGTTTCTGTCCAGGGTAACCATTTTATGCATTTCCTGAAGCTCAGGCACCTCTGTGAACAGCCAAGCTGAGCTGGAACTATGGAAGTTACTTTGGTTGCCTTCAGATTAACCTCACTGGAGGATTTGGGGTATTGTCCCTGTGCAGGGAAGGAACCTTTGAAATAGCTGGCACTGACAACAAAACACCTGACAGGGATGACTCATTTTGGGAGCAGCTGTGAAATTTGCTGGTATGGTTAACTCTTCAAACTCAGGACCAGATTCGTAGTGCCGCTATGTAAAAATCTGGAGCTCTTCTAATGAATTTTTTCTGGTTTGCTTTTCTGTTTCTCTTTATTTTACTATTAATTTAGTATTTCCACAGAAACTTTCTCAGCTGAAGCTGTGAGAAAAACTTTCTGAAAGATTGCATTAGTGTAAAGGTAAGCACAATCAAGCCTTGTTAGGGCTCGTTCTAAGGCTTAGTGGTTGGCAAAGCAATAAAGATACCCAAACTGTGGCACAGAGCTATTTTTGAACCTTAAAGGGATGTCTGATGTGTTACCATGGAATCATAACTTAATCTATAGAAAGGGAATTTTTTTAAAAGAGAACATTTCCAAGAGGTTATATTTGAAATATTTATTCACACACGATGTTCCTGTTGAAGCTTAGTATTCCCAATGACCAATGTAAAGAGTTTGTAGATATATTTAAAGTCTGAGCATTAGTACCTGTAGCCAGGGAAACTTTTGTACTCCATGAATGTACGGAAGTGAGTTACTCGTATGAACTGTTCTTATTAAAATATTGAAGTCTTAAGACGGACCCTTTCGGTGACTTGGTTATTGTAATCAAGTGTTTCTGTACCCTCTGCATACTGCTGTGAATGCACTAAGACTGGGGTAAGTCCTAACTCAGCTCTGCTGTGGGCCTGAAGCTGTTGGCTGCCACTCTTCTTCCTCAGGCCCTGCAAGAGATGCCCTGGTGCCACAGAGTGACAGTACAGCACTGTGGCAGCCTGGGATAGACCTCACCCTCCCACTGGTCGGGACTGGTTTCCTTAGCTAGGCGTGAAGGAACACTCCTGAAAAAATAGGAAATGTGACATTCCAGTTTCCTAATGATGACATAGTGTACAACAAGCAATGAAGTGGTGTGGCAGTCGCTGTAAAACGATCAGCCAGTTCTTTCTTGTACAAGTACTCAGCCTTAGCGTGTACCTTAACAGCTCACCCAAGTAACTGAAAGGAAGCGCTATGCACGCTGGCTTTTATCTAGCTTTAGCCTGCCTTCTGCATTTTCCAGGAAAGAACGCTTATCACTACTTCATGATTTTCACTTTATTAATGTACAGATTCACACAAAACATTATATTCTTGCTAAGGCCATTTCATTAATAAGTTTTCATAGTACAGAGTTGTGTACTGGGGGGAAATACAGCAGAGTGGCAGATTGTCATTTTAAAACAGTCACAATTTACCACTGATACACTGGAGGACATGCTGTAGCCTACTTATACAGAATTAACATTTGTATTTTAATGATATTACTCCAGAGCATAGTAATAGACCACATAACCCCATGGGTACGGTCTTCTGGTCCACCAGCTCCATATGCATCCTATCACAATTATGCATAATACTGACAACTGGAAAACTGAACAAAAATGGCATAAAATACTCGCTTCAGTTCTGTGTGACGCTAGGAAAAGTAAACCTCGTAGGCCTGTGCTTCCCCTGACCAAGGCTCCAGAGGTGTCGGATAGAAATCAAGACAAAGCCATCACTGCAATGGGTCTCTGCTCGCTAAGGAAACAGGTAAATTAAACAAATACCGTTCCAACCCCATCCTTTTAGCGCACAGATAAGTTAAGCAGCAGTTATATCTTTGCACCCTCCTCTCCAAAAGGAGAGCAAATCTGCAGCTAATCCAACTTCAGCAACAAGATTACCTACCTACCATGCCAGCTGTGTCCTAAACCCAGTATTTTCTCTGTGCAGTGGAGGTGGCACAAGCACGTGAAGGACTCTGGTACAGGAATGGGGCACCCTCAGAAAACGGCAGTTGGTCCTTGTTTCCGATGAGCTGAGGTGTGCACCCGTCTCTCAGAGCCTCTAGGGCGGACACAGACCAGGACCACAAGCTAAGCGGAATTTAAAGTATTTCTTTGCCAAGTTTTTGAAAAGACATACATGATACATGGTGGTCTAACTTAAAGTGACAGAGGTCGATCATGAGGAGTAGCCTTAAAGACACATTTGAGAAATAAAGAAACTGAAGTTGGTTGGAAGAACGAGCATCATCCATCCAGGCTTTTTTAATGCACTCACCTTGCCGCTTTTCCACAGCTTTTCTTCCAAGTTACAATGCACAGACCAGTCTTTGGAAAATAAGTGACCAGTCCAGTCAGTCAGAGGAAAAAAAATTGGCATGTACCAGGAGCATATATTGCTTTTGTTTTCTTTTTCATAAGTCAGTGGTAAAGTACCACTTTAACAGAACTAAATCCCTTAGATCAATAAGCAAAACTGTGTTTGACTCAAATCCCTAGATTAAAAACAAACTGAAGAGAAGTGCAAAAACCAGTGTTTTGGTTGCCAGAAACAACTGCTTTCTTGAAAGAAACAAGGGGCAGAGTCCACACTGGGCAGCAGTGCCCACCAGGGCCTACCGTGATATTCCTGCTCTGGCCATGGAAAAGCACCCACTTAAACAGCAGTTTTGCCAAATAAAGCAATTAATTACTTTTTCATTCTTTACGTGTCAGTAGTGCAGCTGAAAATTGCTTCATTACAGGGAAATACTGACAAAGTGCAGAGGCTCCCGAGTCCTTCTTACTGTACAGGCAGGAACTGGAATAGGTACATACTAACAGGTAGCTTAATCATCTCTAGTTAAACAAAGCACTGCACGGAAGAGCCTTGGGTGCAGTCATTTTAAAACACGTTTCTAAAATTACTGCAGGAATTTTGAAACGTATCTACACCTTTTCAAAGCAAGCTCGATTCATCTGTCGCCCAGACAACCAAAACAAGGTTTCTGTATAACATCAAGTCTCAGTCAACACCTTCGCACATCTCAAGAACGAGGCAGCTTCGCCAACAGCAGAGAGGGCAGAAACTAAGGGGTATCGCCCAGCACACACAAAAGACTTGTAGTAGAGACAGCAGCGGGAGTTCACGGAAATTAAAAGTTAGAAAAATAGATTATTACTCGGGTCAAGTCATCTTGGGGGTAGGAAGGATGGGATGCACCACAAAATAAAGTGGAAAAATAGATCCAAGAAAATATAGAAGAACCTTACATTTTATATTTAGATATGAAATACAAAATACACCATTAACCAGGTCTACTCGCAATGACTGTTTGGAGGGCTGACACCAACTGAAGTAGTCCTGTCCCCTAACCTGTAATGCTTTCGGCACTAGGTCATTATGTATTCCGTATTTATACGTGCACACATGTA